AATCTGTTGTTACAGACTTCTAAATTCGCTCTCCAGTGTAGAAGTTTTACTTTCAAATTGTACAATACGCTCAGCAGATGCAGAACACTTCTTCTTAGCACAGCAACCTCATTACTGATCATTACTGATTTTTTCGCATAAATCACTTTATTCGGTTTACAACCATAAAAAATATAAATTGAGCAATTTTGCAAAATTCGAAGTTTTACAAGAGCTTTTGTTATTAATTTTTTTTTATGAATTCAGTAATTATTTATTATCCACTGATTCATAGCATTTATCTTGCTCATTTTATTCATGATGATAGTTAAATAAATTTTTAAAATAATCATTATTTTCTACAAAATTGATAATTTTTGTTTTTGTTATTTTTTTGGCCTTTATAACAATTATATTCTACAATTTATATTGAGCTCGAGGCCATTTTATATGAAAATTTTTATTGTGGAAAAGCAATAATAATTTGAAAAAATGGTAGAAGTGATAGCTATTTCGGAAATCACCACATTTCCTCATCAGACTTCTTTCAGTAGGATTCGAACCGACGATCCCACTGACTCAGCCAGTTGCCTATGCACCGTGCTAAGTACGCCTGTAAATTATCGTTTGCTTTTTTCCACTATTTTCATTTTTGTTATGCCAACACAATCAAGCGCAGCTATTCCGCTGCAATTCACTTGATCATGTGGTTGTTGGTATTGTTGGTTTTTTGGTAATAATTATATTTTTAGAATGTTTAACTTTTAGGTGTGCTCGTCCTTAAGTTATTTGTTTTTGTTATTTTTTTGGCCTTTATAACAATTACATTCTACAACTTATATTGAGCTCGAGGCCGTTTTAAACGAAAATTTTTATTGTGGAAAAGCAATAATAATTTGAAAAAATGGTTGAAGTGACAGCTATTTTGGAAATCACCACATTTCCTCATCAGACTTCTTTCAGTAGGATTCGAACCGACGATCCCACTGACTCAGCCAGTTGCCTAAGCACCGTGCTAAGTACGCCTGTAAATTATCGTTTGCTTTTTTCCACTATTTTCATTTTTGTTATGCCAACACAATCAAGCGCAGCTATTCCGCTGCAATTCACTTGATCATATGGTTGTTGGTATTGTTGGTTTTTTGCTAATAATTCTATTTTTAGAATGTTTAACTTTAAGGTGTGCTCGTCCTTAAGTTATTTGTTTTTGTTATTTTTTTGGCCTTTATAACAATTATATTCAACAATTTATATTGAGCTCGAGGCCGTTTTAAATGAAAATTTTTATTGTGGAAAAGCAATAATAATTTGAAAAAATGGTAGAAGTGATAGCTATTTCGTCGGTTCGAATCCTACTGAAAGAAGTGTGATGAGGAAATGTGGTGATTTCCGAAATAGCTATCACTTCTACCATTTTTTCAAATTATTATTGCTTTTTTTCAATTGTTGAATATAATTGTTATAAAGGCCAAAAAATAACAAAAACAAATAACTTAAGGACGAGCACATATGCAACGAAGTATTTTCCTTTCTCGTCGATCAAACGAATTTGTACGCGACCAAAAACAAAAATAAAGAACCTTTTGTCATGGTGGCTTTGATGAAACGCTTCATAGGCATACTTATATTATCCGGTTACCACCGTCTTTCATATCAAGAGCACTACTGGTTTACTCAACCTGATCTTGGATTGGCATTCGTAAAGCAGGCAATGACTCGATCAACGTTTCGCAATTTGAAGATGTTTTTTTCATTTATGCGACAATGATACCATTGATAAAAGCGATCCGATGTGTAAGGTACGACCACTGATTGATATATTGAATAAAAAATTTATGCAGTTTGGTGTTTTTTCTGATGATTTATCGATCGATGAACAAATGGTTCCATATTTCGGTAAACATTCTTGTAAGATGTTTATACGAAACAAACCTGAGCGTTTTGGTTTTAAGAATTGGTGTCTATGCTCATCGAGCGGATATTTGTTTGATTCCCATCCGTATACTGGAAAAAATGACAATTACGATAAACAAATTGGTCTGGAAGCGCACGTTGTGCTTGAATTATTAAACAACGTCACTCAACCAGAATTGGATTCAATTTTCTTTGATAACTTATTTAGGTCCTATTATTTGTTATGCTTATTACGAGAAAGGAAGTTACGCCACTGGTACAATTCGATCGAACCGGTTACGAGGTGGTGAAAAATTTTTAAAAACCGGACGCCAATTGGAAAAAGGAAAGTATGACCATTGTTTTGATCATACAAACAAAATATTACTCGTTCGTTGGCAAGACAATGCAGAAGTCACCATGGCAACCAACTATGATATAATAAAACCGGAAGTAAAAGTAAACCGATGGAACAAATCGAAACGAGCAAAGGAAGCAAAAGGTAATCAATACGTACAATGAGGGGTGTTGATCTACACGACAATGCTGTTGCCAACTACAGGATACGAATAAGAGGAAAAAAGTGGTGGTGGCGATTATGGACAAATGAATTGGGATCAGCTATAGTGAACGCATGGAAACTCCATTGTTTGATAAACAAACTTGTGCAACCAAAAACCTGTTCAATGTCACAACATGATTTCCGATCTTTTATTGCCAGGTCTCTATTGACTTACAGTGAAGGACCAGTATTACGTGATTCAGATGAAGAAGTTGAAGTAATGAATCGCCCAATAAAATTACCAAGGTTAAATGAAAAATTCCATTATGTTATTGTGCTTCCTGATGGTAAAAAGTTACGATGCAAAGTGTGCCACAAAACTTGCCGCTTTCAATGTAAGAAGTGCAATCTCACTTTGCATCCAAAGGAATGTTTTGAAAAATACCATAGTTGAATAAATATTTGATAAATGCTACTGAAATATTTTAATTATGTCGTTTAACATTTGAAATGGGCAATTTGTGAATGTGTTGAAATTTTTAGAAAGATAACATATCTCGCCAGTGTTGCTTTAAAGAAACAGCGATTTTTGAACACTCATAGCAGATGTCGTTATTATGTGAAACCAAATCGTGGACATAAAATAGTTAGCATACTTTAGTATAAAAAATATTTCTTTGTTAATATTTTCCAAAAATTGTTTTTTCTATTTTTCCGGATTTAAAAAAAAAAACTATGTATATTAATATTTGTGCTTTTTTATGACTTGTAAGAGAAATATTCGAAAAAAAAACAAAATGTTAAAAAATAATTATGCACGTTAAAAACCAAAATGTTCAAATTTATAATGCGTAAGTTTGCCTTTAATATTGTCTAAGGTTATTTTTTTTACAATTTTTTAAAGTAAGCGTTTCTTTAAAGCAACGGTTGTGGTTGTGTGTGTGGACCGGCCTGCATTCTTTGTTTACGCAAATTTTCCCATATCTACATATACATATATGTACATACACATGTACATACATATGTTCTTAAACAACTATCCACAAAAACATTTTTTCACCAAGGATTATATTTCGTTCAGGTACATATACAGCATAATGCTACAAGTAGCAAACTATTTAGGGTTATTAAAAAGTGCTTAGTTGTCTTTTGTTTCTGCGGCACAAACGATTATACATACCATCCTCTTTACTTATTTTCCGCTGTAGACAAAATATGTACATGCATATCGTCACCTGAAATGCAAAACGACGTAACAACATCGCAACTGAAATTAAAAATGTCATGACTAATATTTATATTTTTTTCATAAAATGATGTGGAGACTTGTAGTTCGATGAAATCCACCATATAAATCAAAAAGTGAAGTTGAATTTTTTATTAATTATAACTTTTTGCATTCCTGCGATGATGTTTGTCACGTCTTTTTGCATTTCAGATGACGATATGTACATTAGACCGGTTCAAAAACATTTTTTTTTCTTTTCATGATATTAGTAGAGAAATGAGCTGTACTACATGTCCACAGACATTTTTTTCTAAGGCTCCCCCCAATACCTTGAATATCGGATTAGCGAATCGTATTTGAACATCAAAACTTTTTGATATGAATCTATTATCGTCTCAGAACTCAAAATGTGTATAATTGGAAGCTACTTTCGGGCAAGGGGTAGTTTTTAGCCAGGAACTCAAATATGTTGAGATTTTTATCTTACAAAGCAAACTAAATGAATAGTAAAGTACCAGGTTGACCGAGCCTTGCCCGGAGTGCATATCCTTTTTGAAGTTTTCAAGATTTGGATAGCTTTATAAAAATATTTAGGAAATAAACACAAAAAAAAAGGATTTCGATATCTATTAAGTAAATTCCTTACTCTAAAATTTAGGTGGCAACCCTATTCAGAAATATGCTGGAATGAATGGTACATATCTTGAGCGTGTATGTACTATGTATATGTAAATGTATAAAAAAATGTTGATTGAAAATAACAAAATAAAAATTTGTATTACATAGAAGCGTGGAAACCCTGATGAAAAATATTTTCTTTCCAAAGTTTTCAACAATACCTTTCACTTGATATCCATATTGCGATGTTTTAGATAAATTGTGAAGAATCGAAAATAAGTGGCAACCTTACACTATTATCCTAAGAGATGACATTTTTTATATAGGGAAAACATTGTTTAAGAACCTCCTC